GCCTTGCAGTTTTTGTTATGTGTTAAGAACAAACTAATAAACAACCAAAAAAAAACAAATCTTGATTTGCTTGTATGGTTTAATTTTTATGCGTGATGAAAGTCAAAGTTGTGAAACATTCACTCATTTTTGCTCGGTACTGTATAGTTAAAGAAATCAGAAAACATACGTATATATTTATGTGTATTTGAAGCAAACTAGATGATGAGGAATTTGTCTATGCAACAATTCCTAGTGCTAACAATGAGTATTTATTTGTTGTTGTTTACTTTTGTTGTCCTTTCCTTTCGCAACAGAACTTTAACTATGAGTAGAAATTGCTTTTGGCTGGTATTCGTACTGTTAATAAAGCGTAATTAAAGTATACATATATATTAAATTTTGTCTTTTAACTAGTTTATGTTGACTTAGATATATACATACATTTATATATATATATATATTGCTCGATAATAAGCTGATATTCGAATATCCAATATCCAGAGATTGAGAGAACTACAACACCAGCATAACAATATACATACATATATAGTATATATATACATATATAGGAGTCTGTTCTATTGAGCTGTTTACACTATGGCATCGTTGTATTAGATTATTCTTTGTATTAGATATATCGTATATTGTTTATTGTGTGAAGACCCGTTCTGTTTTGAGTGTTTGGTGTCTGGTGCTGTGAGTATTTCAATACAGTGTGATTCTCAGCTGTGAGCGCTTCGGTTATAGTCTCCATATATAACATATATGTATGTATATATATAGATAGATCGTGCTCAATGGTATGTGCCCTAGTTTATAACGAACAACATTTAATTAGCCAGGAATTTTGAATGGGCCTGCGGCGCTTAGGCATTCGATTCCTTTAGATTCTCTAGGCGTGCCAATTGATTCGAGTCTAGTTCTTCGGGTATGCTGGCTCGACCGCCAACCACCTGTTTGGGTGCTTCAATAACATCCTCTGCTTGTGCCTCGGGGTTCATATCCAGACCGGTCGACTGACCACCGCCACCGCCACCTCCTCCACCTCCGCCTCCTGCTGCTGCCTCGGCTCCACTGCCAGCAAACGCATCATCGAAATTAGCATCGAAATTGGCCTCAAAATCCGCCTCAAATCCCGCACTGGCACCATCGGCAGCAGCTGCAGCAGCAGCAACAGCTGGAGCCGCACCTGCAGCAGATTTCTCAACAAACGGATCCTCAGGCTGCTGCACTACAGCCACCGTCCCATCAGCCGAATCGAAAGATTGATGTTCATCCTCTGCTGATACATGATACTCGGTCAGTGTTATGGTTACAGCAGTAGCCACTTGATCCTCCACCTCGTCACTTTTACCAACATTAACATTACCTTCTTTTGGCGGCTGCTTGTGGGCCGCGATTTTCGCTGCCGATGGCTTGGGCACAATGTCTGGCTTTGGCTTGGCCTTTTTCTCCACCTCCGGTTGCTGTTCCTTCGTTTGCTGCGATTCTGTATTGTCGCTCTCTCCTACTGGTGGGAAAGATTTATCGGCACCGTCTTCAACCATTGGGGTTGCAGCGGTAACAATTATTTGTGCCATACCTAAGTTCAAAGTATTCGCAACGCCCCCCACATTTCCACCAGCGGCCCCGCCCCCAGGCTTGACCAACTGCGGTGGCGGCAAAGACGGCGGCGGCTTCTCATCGTCGCTGAAATCGTCCTGCAATGAAACGTATAGAATTAATAATATATAAAATATATAAAATCAATTAAGTAATTCAAATAAATGGGAAAGGTTCTTCGTCTAGTTACCTCCATGCCAGGCTCTTGTATAAGCACTGCGTTAGCATTAAATATAAATGAGAGAAGAGAGTTTATTTAATCGATTTGATCGCAATACGGTTTTAGTATTTTTTGTTATTAAATTCACACATTTTTATAACCCTTTATCGAGAGAGTAGAGCGACGGGAATACAATTGAAAATTGCAGGGCTCAATTTAAAGGGTACAAGAATCAAGATATTCAGATACATATAAATATATATACATACAAGGATACGGATTTAAACTAAAGGGATTATAACACAAATACCAAAAAAGGGGAACGGATAGGGAATTGCGTTTGGGGGGAGGTCCATGCACATGCTACATATAGTAGACAATAGTCTCGATAAAGTCTAAAGCAAATACTTTCAAATATTATACAAAGTATTTAAGGTCGATAGCTCTTAGAGCTGAAGAAGCTTACGAGTGATAAAAAAGGTCAAAGACGTCAATCGATTGATTGAATATGTATATTGAAGATACGTGTAAATTATAGGGAATCTACCAGGTTAATAATTAATGTTTCAAGTCAGAATAAGTTATACTATCTAAAGATATATATTTGATTATATATATAATGGAATATAATTGATCATTCAAACGAATTCTTGATTATAAATAACAGGGTATTTCGGACAGATTTCAAATTCAGGCTTCGAAGTCATTGATAACGTTTTTATGAAGAATAATTAGAAATATTTGACTTAGATAAAATCTTTTTGCAGTTTATAGTGTTATGGGAGCTGAAGAAGTATCAAAAATGTTTGGCTTGTAAGGGGTTTCAAGATATCTTTCCTCTTGAAATGCCTCCGCTGTGCTTACTTCTCAACTGTGGAAAAGTCAACAAAACAAGCAAAAGGAAAGTCTTTAATAAACATAAACTACAAACTATTCATACAGAAAGAGTTCCAATTTTATGTACAACATTATCAAAAATAGTTAATCGAGAAAACTGGAAGATCAGAGATAGAGAAGATATCATATATAACACATGTATATCATATTTTGGAGTAGAGTCTTACACTGAGCGAAAATAAATACAAATTGTGAATAATACCAAATTCAAGTCAAAAATTGGTGCCAAACAAAAAATTACACAAAGTATTTACTACAAATTAGAGAAAAATAAAGAATTATTGAAAATCTGTTTAATGAATAGTCGAAATATTGATAGATCGTAATCGTAATATATCGAGATCGTAATTAGTAGCATAGCAGGAAACACCAACACACACGAAGAGGAGGAGACACGTTGTTAAGCAGCCTAAAGTACACTGTAAAAAATTTGTTTTTAGTTCATAGTTTTTGTTTAGCTTATTCATTGGCTTGCAAAAAGGACACATAATTTGAGATTTCTGTTTCGATAGCAACGATAAACGGAGAGTGTTACGAAGAATAGTTACAGTGAGTGAAGGTGGAGTCAAGGTGGTGGTGGTGGTGGTTGAGGTGGTTGTGATGGTGGTTTTTTGGTAGTTAGTGGTTGGTTGGTTAGTAGTTGGACGAGCTGCAGTTGAAGATAAGTTTTGGCTACCTCTAGAGAATATAGAAGCAGGTATCAAAAGTACTTCGAGTATTTTTGTTTTAATTTGTTTTAGGTGAAACATAAAAAATATATATGTATATTTATAGAGAGAGAGAGTAAATCAAATATGGATGTGTTGTATAAAGAGAAAGTCTTTGATAAGAGAAAGAGAGAGAGTGAAGTAGAGCGTAGGTAATTTGTTCATATAGAATAAATTACCTGGCGGAGGCATGCTGGGTACGCCGGCGCCATTGGGTATATAGCCACTATCCCGATCTTCATCTAGAGTGCGGGCGGAAGAAACGACGAGAGGGAGAGAGACATATTGTACCATATACCATGTAAACGCGCTCTGGCAATCTCACTCACCTGCTGTGTCCTGTGAGGCAAACATATCCTCCGTTATGTCGGTTAGCTCGTGGGCGTACTCTGGCGGCAATGCGGGCGCTGGGGGCAACGCAAAGCTGGGCGCAGCTGTGGGTGGTGGTGATTCATCGCCATCGCCGTCGCTGAGTGGCTCACCCATCTCATCGCATTCCTCGACGACCAGCGATGGGAAATTGCCAAATTTGCCATCCAGCTCGCCCTCCCACCAGCCATCGTCGACGCCGTGCGCCGTCTTTGTTATGATCTTGATCTTGTCGCCCTCCTCGAAGGTTAGCTCATCCTCGGCGGTGGCATCGTAGTCGTAGAGCGCAATACACCATTCGGTGTCGGACTTGACACGCTTCTGTGGCGCCATTATGACCGACACCTGATCGGGCGATTGCATCGAGTCCACCGTTTGATCTTCGTTGTCAACAGTATAATCGACAGATGAGAATGAAATTTGTGTGCGCAATTGATTGGCAGAACTACCATTGAAAGCCCCATCAGCAGCCGCATCCTGCTCGATGTCCAGATAATTGTGCGGCACATAGCCCTCCTCGCCGCGATAATTGCGTGCACGCAGCCAGCCATCGCCATCGCCTTCGCCAACCACTTCCAGCTGCTCGTTCTCCACAATGGTCAGCTCATCCGGATTTTGAGCCTAACCAAAGTAAGCAAGCAGTAGATTCAAATCTCCTCGATTTCCCTTATATCCTCTCCCACTCACCGTATAACTATAGAGCGCTGTGCACTTGAAGATCGCCTCCTTCGGCTCCGGTACAATCGGCTCATCCTTGTCATCATCACCCTCGTCCCAATTAACCTCGGTTGGATCATCCCAGCCGCTGGACATTTGCACTGGAGCCGCTGCTGTTGGCTGTGCTCGTTCGCGCTCCTCGGCCTCATCTTCGCTGTCGCTGAAGGTGCGATCCCGCGAGAGCTGCTGGTCCTGCTTGGGCTTTGTGGCAGCCACAGCTGTGGCACCGTCCTCCTTGTCGCTGTCGTAGAAGGAATCAGAGCTGGGATTTTCGCCCTGGCCGGAAGCATCGGTGCGCATCGATATGGAGCTGGCGGATCGTGTTAGCTCCTGTACGCCCATAATCTCCGCCTCCTGTACCCATTCGTCCACATTGATGCCGCCGTCGCGCAGACACTGCAAACACGCCTCCGCCTTGGCCTTCTCTGTCTCCGAGCGACGTATCTGATCGCGGAACTCATCGATCTTCGTATCCAAGTCGGGGCCATTTGGATCATTGGGATCTGTACGCTGGCCAGCATCTCGCAGCGACTGGCACAGTGCCAACTTTTTGGCATACTCCCGTATCGAGGCATTCTCCTTGACCACACGGCCGGCCAAATTCTTCGCCTCCTTGGTCAACGTCTCGGCTGCAGACTCGTGCTCGGTGGTTACCTTACGCACCGGATCATTGTCGCATGGCTCAAAGTCGTACTGAATGTGCTGCTTCAGCACCGGATAGAACAGATAGCAACACTGCAGATTGTACTCCCGGGTCAGCTGTTGGGCCTGGTCACGGATCTTGCCAAAGCTGTTCTGCATGGCCGAGCAGGTAAGCAGCTCAGTGCGTCTGTCGAGGATGATAAATGGTAGCTTGGTTAAACGAGAAGCAAATGCAACAGGCAGAGAATCTAGTCTAAGATCTAAGTAAAGTCAAGGCTTAAGGCTTTTCCCCGATCCTTACCCCATTAGCATCAGATACTCGGCAACTCGCTCGAACACATAGTTCTCCATGGTGGTCATTGTCGTCTGCAGGTCCACAGTGAAGTAGCGGTTCTGATGGGCATTCGCTGCGGCCAAACTCAAGATGTAATCGTTGCGAGCGCCCGACGACTTCTCCTCGAGTAGCTCCTTGCGCGACGTGACCCGAGCGCTGTTCTTCTGCAGCGATGTAATTGACTGAAAGAACGAGCCCTTCTTCTTCTTCAGCTTCTCCTCAATGTCTTTGGCCTTGTCGCGCACATCGTGTGCACAGTGCTCCTCGTCGAAATAGGATTTCTTAGTCTTGTCCACGTCGCCGACGCTCAAGTGCAGCTCCTTCTGCACATTGACTATGCCGGCGAGCGCGCGTTTGGCTATGGCCAGCTTATAGTCTCGGAGAACTTTGGCCTCATCCGCTATTTGTTGCTGGAACACCTCGATGGCAGCGAGCCGAGCGCGTGCCAGCTTCTCGTTCTCCTCGAGCACAGTGCGCCAAACGCTCCACATATTCCTGAGGCGGAAGTGAAAGACAGAGAAAGAGAGAGGGAGTGAGAAGAAGAGTAGCCAAAGAGTTTTAGGAAATAGATTATTTAGTGATCACTTACCATCTCTCTTCCATGCCATCCATTTTAATATCGGGTATATTTGGTATTTTCTTATTGAGATACTGCGATGAGATCTTGAGCAGGCCTTCGCTATATGATTTCTCAATAGCGGAGCGCTTGATTGTGAATTGCCGTATATCCTCCAGTAGATCGCACTCATGTTGGTTCTTTAGCTGCAACTTAGCTACCTGTTCCGTGTGCAAATTCTTTAGGAATTTCACATAGTTTCCCTGTTATCGCAAATGTATATCATATATTAAATTTAATATTAATATAAATTAGATCTGATTAATTTTAATATATGCTTTAGCTGGTTTACCTTGCGCGGCGGCGGCTGCATTCTGTTCTAGCTTGGCTACTAGCGCTTGATTTTTGTTTTTTTTTTTTTTTTCAAGCAGAAGCGTTTTTTATTTTTTGGTTTTTGTTTATGGTTTCTTGTCGAGCTTCAATCAAATGCCGTTACATTACCTTTAGTAGCTGCAAATGAAGTAGGGGGTAAGGGGGGAGTTGTTAAAGGCTTGAATTAATAATTGGTTCGAATTGTGAAGCGTGCATCTAAATTAGCTATCTTAAGCACTTTTACATAATCGGGAAAAATGATTGAGAAAATGTTGTGTGAAAATTTTCACAGCATTTCCCCTGCTGATATCGATTTATGCTGCAGCAGCGGATTTTCTTGAGTTAGTTTCTCGCGTAGCTTTACGTTGTCAAAAGTAATTCTATTGCTCTAACACTTTTCTTCGACATGCTCTAGTCACTGGGCTACCATAAAAATTCGGAGTTTTTTCAACTAATTTCTTAGCCAATTGTATAGGAAACTTTTTCTTTTCTCTAGCGTTCGCACAGTTTGGCTTTTGCTCCTGCCTTTGCGTACTTATCGATTTCGATTTTAATGCCGTTTTAACAGTTTTCCAAGCAGACACCGTTAGCTGGCTGCGCGAGAGCTAGCATGAATGGGAGAGGACAAAAGAGCGGGAGAGTGCACGCAATATTCCACTTGCAGAAAGAAGGCGACCACTCTCTCTCTCTTTCTGTCTCTCTCGCACACTTTGCAACACATTCTCTGTTTTTGCTGTTTGTCACAAAATAGGGGTGGGTACTTAACAGTTTCATTCATGGCCTTTTAAAAATACTCCGCTCATGCGCTTAGCCAATCCGAAGCCTAACACGTAAAATGCATCTAAGAAAATTTCTACACACCCACGCACGTTCTTAGCCACTCTAGCATTATTTAAAGCTCACTTCCGACTCTTTCTATGGCAATTCACAATAATACTGAATTATATTCAACAATTGTCATGACTTTTGCATACTGATAAAAACCAAGAGTATGCTCTATTATCAATAAGCACTACATTGATAACAAATTTTTGGTGTTCGAAAATTGATAGGGTCAACGGTAAAAAGTATGCAGTACTTTCATATCGTCTACGCGTTGAGTATAACAATTTCTGTAGCTGTACGCATTAGTGTGTGTGCGTACGATATACGATTTGAAAATCCAATGTAACTGCATCCATAAAACATTTGAAACTATCGTCTCTATCGATATTTAAATCCGATGTAAGTAAAGCTGTAACGGTTGTCGTAAAGCGCATATAAATGAACTACCAATTAAAAAATCAGTTATATGAAAACAGTTATAAATTGAGAAATCGAAAATATGATCACTAAATATATATACTCTCTTAGTTCATTATACCCGACAGTAAAGCAAACAAAACTCATGTGGCTCATATCGATATATCGATAGATTGGTGAACAGCTGTTTAACTGCTGGAATGCAATAAAACGCAAAACAAATGAAAGAAACAAATAAATGCTGCAAGGGGCGGCGGTGGCAGCAGGTGTGTTCGAGCCATCGAAAACCTGTTTTTGAGTCAAGAGCAAACAAACAAAACGGCATACCGCGTCGCAAAAGTGTAAAAGTGTGCCGCCAACGAAGAAGCAGCACCAACAACAGCAACAGAAGCAGCGCAGCCAACGTGAAGCTCGAGCAGCCACTGTGATTTCACTTTTCAACAGTTGCCAATAGAGAGCAGTAAACGAGCGCACGGATTAGCATAGGTTCAAATTTAATAGTTGAATTGTGCAATTAAGTGAATCTAGAAACTACCGTTACAAAGATGAATCGAGTAGGTGCAGTGATTATGCAACAAATGCGGCGGCAAAGGATGCAGCCAAGGCAGCTGCAACGATGCCTCGAACAAGTCTCACCTGTTGAGCAGCCACACCTGTCAACTTTCACTCAATTACGATGCACGTCTGCGTCAGCGGCGAGCAACAAACAGGTGACTCCACCACCGCGTCACGATTGGAATCGCGCCGTTAGCGAAGCGGAAAGGATCGTCGGATATCCTACGTCCTTTCTAAGCCTGCGCTGGCTGCTGAGCGACGAAATCGCGAATGTGGCACTACATCTGCGCAAACTGGTGGGCAGTGCGCATCCGCTAATGAAGACAGCCAAGTAAGTGGACTACAAATCATGACAGATTCAGATTAGAAAATCTATACTCCTCCAGGCACCTACTCTACAACGGCAAGAATACCATGCAGGCATGGGGTCTCATTGTCTTGCTTGTATCCAAGGCCGCTGGACATGCTCCTAGCATACCCGATGTGGAGCAGGATAAGAGCGCCGGGGTGCTCCATTCGCAGCGTGCGCTAGCCGAGGTCACCGAGATGATACGAATCTCACATTTGGTTCACAATGTAAGGAAATCCTTGAAATGCGAAATATTCAGCCTAAACAGCTTCTCACTCGTTTCTCTTTAGAGCGTTGTCAACTTGCAAAGTGGCACTGAGGCAGGCCAGGATGCCACCACCTACGATGACATGTCTTTTGGCAACAAGATTGGCCTGCTCACCGGCGACTATTTGCTTGGCCATTCCAGTGCGGAACTTGCGAATCTGCGCAATCAGGAAGTTGTGGAGCTCATCTCGTCAGCTGTGCGAGATTTTTCCGAATCGGAGTTTATAGGCGAGCGTGATGAGCAGAACAATCCGCTGCCCTTCAAGCCGGGCACATTCCAACGTCCCTCGCTCACCGTGGGCGTCGATTTCAACGAGCACGATGTGATGACGCCCATGCCGATTGGCCAGGTGATGGGTAATCCGGAACAGGAGTGGGAATGTCGTAATATCTTGAATGCAGGCAGCCTGCTTGGCAAATCCTGCCAGGCGTCCCTTAAACTGGCCGGCCAGAGCGAGCAGATGCAGCGGCACGCTTACCGCTTTGGCAAGCACCTAGCTCTGGCCTGGCAGGCTTGCCTCGATGCCGAGAGCTTTCAGAGCCCAACGCTGCCACCGGATGCAACCTTCAGTCTGGTTAGTGCGCCAGTCCTCTTTCATTTGGAGCACGATCCCAGTCTTTATAAGCTAATCGAGCCAGGCAAAAAGTCAGTGGACCTCATTGACTACAACAAAATACACAAGGAAATTCTTGCGGGTCCAGCGCTGGCCAAGACAAAGGAGCTGCAGCGAAAGCACACGGAAGCTGCCCTAAGTGTCCTGCAACATTTTCCAGCTACCGATGCGCGTCAGGCACTAGAAAACATCATTCTGGCCATGCAGGACTTATGATCAACTAAACTCGGCGACAGGAAAAGCGATGCATGGAAACGGGTTCAGGGTTATAGCATAATGACATTAAACTTAAAGTGAATCTTTAATCTTAAGGCAAAAGACAAAGTTTTTATAGCTGTGGGAATTTATGGTCTTGCATACGATGCAAATTGTTAATATTATACAAAAATATTTCTATTTGTTGCAGTCCTCTATGCAGAACTAAAATAAAATCTAACAAACTGTTTTATTTATAAGCTGAAGTGTGTTCACATTTAGGGAGATTACTGTACAGTAGAGGTATCAACGTCTGCTAATGCGCATCAGCACCAACTGCGGGCATCGCTCATATTCAAAATATTGTGGGAAATCCAAGGGCAACTCGTCCATGCGCCAAGGCTTCTTCAGTACCTGCCTCAGGAAGTGCTCATACATGGGCGCCACAGATTCACAATCCTCCAGAGTGAACACGTAACGCTTTTCCATGGCCATGTAGATGTACTTAGCTCTGCCAGACTTCTCTCCACGCTCCAGTATGTGTTCCATGACAGCGACGAAGGCGTCGGTGAGTGTGTCATCATAGACGACATCCGCTGCCAAGATTATATCACTATCATCGATCGCTGCAATCAGTTCTTTGCTCAACTGAGATCTTGAAGCAAGAAAGTCATATTCCAGCACAGAGATCTTGCTTTGCAGCAGCTGTCTATTTCGTTGAACATTCTTGCGAATCAGCTCGAGGATGCAACCGAGATTGACGTCAGTACAGTAGACTTGCCCTTTGTTCATCATAGCTGCTGTAATGCTGGTCAAACCAACTCCAGCGCCTAGCTCCAGGATTGTCTTGGAGCTCCATGCTTCCCTTTGGTGGAAGACAAAATCTGCCAGGAGCAGCGCTCCACGCCAAACTTGGAGACCAACTAGCTTCAGTTCCGTTGCATCAGAATGTTCAATTTCTATGATACCGCGCTTTGGACGTTTCACCTCCAGATCACCATCACTATCTACTTTAGCTTTACCGTTAGGTAGCTTCTCGTCGGGATAGCGAAAACGAAATTTTGACACAATTTTGCCATCAGCATCCTGCTCTGGTTGGTAGTTTGTCTCGCTGTAGATTTCCGACTTGACCGTGTACATCTGATTTCCTTATATACCAACATCCATCTAATAATATACATATCTATTTCACACTAGAGATCATCTCTATCCAAAGTGTGACTGAGCTCTCGGGAAATTTTTTTTATGAAAAATACTTCCCTAGATACTGTAATTATGCTACTTATTAGATTTGATTTTGTTAGTTGTAGCATTTAACTGTGTGATTTGTGTCATCTCCTAACTTTTAAAAATATAGAAAGAACTAATCAAATTTTTAACTATATTTTACCGCATTCTCTATATTAAAGTTTGCATCATTAATTGTGTTTTTAGTAAATAGCACAATTATGTTAACTCAATAATGGCTGTTCTGCGTATAAACGCACAAATACTGTTGGTGCCATTTTGAGCACTTAACAGTGACCATATTGAGTACTGCAGTGCCATTTTGAGTTTAACATTACCCTTTTTACATCAGCGTGGCAACGCAATTTTTTAGGTGAAAAAATTATTAAAGTCGTTGTTAAAGAAAAACAGAGTGCAAAAAACAGCAGCAAATACACACAATTAATAAAGCGAAAGCAAGATAAAAGCAAAGCAAGCGTGTGCTGCCGCCCCATTTCTTAGCCAACAAGCCCGAAAGTGTCACCGCCAAGACGTACGTGCGAAAAATGTTTTGGGACAAGGGTTATGCGCCCTCTGCTAATATAGAGGCGCTGCTCGAGAAGGAGGTGCGTAAAAGTGTGTGTTGATGTGTGAATGTGCATATGCATGTGAGTGCGTGTGCGTTTGTTTATGTGTGTGCAAATAACATTGTTCAATATACTATATGTGTGTACAATTTTGCCTACATATAGAATTCCACTGTGGAGGAATTCCTGGACGAGGAGGATATATTGCAGGAATGTAAAACGCATAAAAAGAATTTGGTCAACTATTTTACACGACCAGAAGTGATTCGTCGCCTGGTCGAGCTCATCACAACGGAACCATCAGAAGATTTACCGATGTCGCAGCGTTTCCACTACGCAAACATGTCATGTGAGATACTCACAATGTAAGCAACGCCCCCAACCCCTACTATATACATACATATATATGATGTATTTATATTGTTTTCGTTTGTCTCTTAGTGGTCTACCCTCGCTGGATGAGAAATTACTCTCGGATGCGGATACATTGCAATTGCTGTATTCATATTTGAAAAAAGAACCACCGTTAAATTCATTGCTATCATCGTTTTTTAGTAAAACATTTAGCATGCTCTTTACGAAAAAGCCAGAACAAGATTGGTTTTTGTATCAACATATGTGCCTACAATTTTTGGAGTATATTAAAGCGCAGAAGAACTTTTTGGATTACATTTGTAAACACTTCGACACACCTGTTATACCCGATCTGATCATGCAAATGATGAAGGAAATCGATGGTGGTCAACTGAAGCGCAACCTATACGAAGTAAAATTATTGCATACAATTCTTACCCCGTATACGACTATTAATATTTATAATTTCTTTTCGATTCCGCAGTGGTTAACTGAAGACAAAATTGTTGAGAGACTGATTGCAATATTGCGTAATCCTCTGGAGACCGATAAGCATGCAAATGTTGCGGACTTTTTCTGTGATCTTATTAATCAGGGCCGTCTAATGCGTCAAACGGAGCAGGAGAATGATTCATTTGAGCCGGCCTTTGATGGGTCAAATCCCATATTGCGCACGATTGAATCTGCACAGACAATTGAAGCCTTGTTAAATGTGATTTTGGAACCAAACGCTCTAGAGAGCGCCATCTTATCAGGAATATCGGTTGTACTTACGCTTATCAAGCCCCTTACATTCACGTGAGTCATCGCGAAAACAACATCAAATTTATATACAATCACTTATCTATTTATTTTTCATACTGTCAGTTATGAGCCGACTTCGGATCGCCAGCGTTTGCTGCAGAAACGCGAGAGAGAATTCCATCAGGAAGTTCAAGAGACTGTGATTGTGGTGATGGCGCCTCGCTTACATGAATTTGTGCATTTGCTGAAAAATCCGCCAGCGGTTCGTGTGTTTGTTTTTATGCATATGTTTATACTGCCTCTCAACTACACTTCTATTCCTACTTTATGTTTCTTAACGCAAATTCAAGTCTAATGTAACCAACCTCTCTTTCAGAAACCACAATTGGAGACCGCAGCTGCGATTCTTACTCCTCCATTTGGCAAAACGCGCCTACAAGTCTGTCGTGTATTCACCGCTCTGCTAGAGACCAAACACGAGACCATTCAACAGGCGTAAGTTGCAGCTAGCTCAGCCAACAAGTGTCTCTAATATGAGTTCCTATCCCTCCCACAGCATCTGTGCCACCGAATACTTTTCTCTACTGCTGGACTTTTTCAAGGAATACTGCTGGAATAATTTTCTTCACAGTGAACTGGAGAAGGCATTGCATTTGGTCTTTTATAATGAGCTCAAGAACAATAATACCACTTCTACGGAATGCACCGAAATATTCCCGGATGATTATATGTTCAATTGCTTATTGAAGTTTGCCAATGATGGCTTGGGCATGACCACAACCGAGGTGGAAATGAAGAATGCTTTGAACGATGTAAAGCGAGCCGAGGGCGGCAAAGAGAATCCAACAACAGAAATTGAATTCGAGGCGGCAGCAGCTCAGCAAGAAGCTGAAGCTGAAGCAGAAGCAGCCACCACCACAAAAGCTGCCAATGAAGTTGAAGAGGCCAACGAAGTGGAGGGCACGCAGGAAAATCACATTGAAAACAAAGCGAACGATGAACCTGCCTCTACTGCTGCTCCTAATGATAACCAAGCAGAGCCAAATACGACGACTGATGCCACTCAGGCAACGCTCAACGATTTGGACAAGACCAAAGCGCCAATAAACAACCCGCCCACTGAGATGCAAACATATGTGAGTAGAATAAACACAGTTCAATTCACATTTTTAATAACTTATTAACTTTACAGCTGATTGTCAATTGCCAATTGGTGACCAAATTGGTTAATTATTGGCGGCACAATGCAGAGGCGCAGTAAGTGAAAAGCCAGCTGAATAATTATTCATTTATAATAATAACCACATATATATTTTTGTCATCCACACAGATCTGCTGAGAAGGGTCGTCGGCTGGGCTATATGGGCCATCTGATCAAGATAATCAGACATATTACGAATTGTATATCGGAATCTGAACATATCGCTAGCCTGATTGCTTCTAGTTTTGACAACGAGGCGGACCAGCAGCTCTGGCAATCGCTAATCGCCGAGGAAGGAGAATTTACCGTGGCCGTCGCACAGCAAAATAAGCTGTTGGCCAATTGCAATCCGCACGAGGATAACGAGTATAATGCGGATAACTCGAAAGATTTCCTGGGTGAAGCTAATACTTGGGACACTGGCGCCACATCGTACAGCAATGTTTGCTATAGTGATCTGGATAATACGGACGTCGTCTTCACAATGGACAATGATCATAGCCTGTTTCAGTTTGGTCGCAACATCGACGACGACGACGATGATGATGATGATGAGCACGGGGGCAGCGGGGGCGATGGCCATAGCCATGGCATGTTTACCAAGAATTCGACAACGCTCAACAATTTGGCAGCCGATGCCTGGGATATGGATGTACAATTCGCTGATATGACTGGCTGTAATTCGCACTCGAATGTTGTAAATACCGGCACCTCCAGCTGGGGCAACGATTTCAATAGCGACAACTTTGCCGATTTCGATGCACATTTCAGCAGCTTTAGCAGCGATCTGGGCTTGCCTCATACCCAGGCGCCTTTGAATGATGCAGCACAGTCTACGAGCGATGGCTCGGACCAGCATCGAACGCTGAACGAGGACGATGTATCTATGACTGCAACCAATAATCAGCAATCAATCGTCAACAGTGATGACCAGCAAGCGGAGTACGACAACAATGCCAACGTAGAGAAGGCAGCTAGCGATAAGCTGCAGGAACTAAACGATGCTGATGCATCCGTCACCACGGCAGCCACATCGATTGTAAGTCAATTGCAATCGGTGCTGCTCGCCGGCGAAGATGATTATGAGGATGATGAGGGCATGTGGACCAAGCCTCTAGGCGGCAGCAATCAGTCTGAAACAATGGCCACCGATCCACAGACAACACTCATCACGAACGGACCCCATAAAATTGCCGAATTGTAAGCGAGTGACAGAAATTGTGAAAGTGTGTGATAAAGTGAATACTTAGACAGCAATCAAAAGTATTTAAGTAGTAAACTGGTCGAATTCATTATAATGTAGCAGTTGGCAGCAGGCATTTACTATCTATCTATCTAGCGTAACCACAGCTAGACCACGAACGGCTGTGGTTATGCTACCTAAGCAACTATTGCTGCATTTACTAATGTTTTTTGTTGTGTTTATTGCAGCAACCATGCCAACGATAACAACAGCAGCAACAGCAGCAGCGATAGCACCGGCAGCAGCAACAGCAACAACAGCAAAGCACGCGACGACAGCAACATCACAATTGAAGCAGAATCGGAGCAGCAGCCAAAGAAGTCGGAGAGCATAGCTACGGCTGCCACGAAAAATGCGGAAATTGCAACAACGACAACATAAATGTGCCGATACACTCACGCTCGCACACGCATCCACCTACACTCAACACACACAACACACGCCCGCACGGCCCACACGGCCCACACTATATACGCACACACACACGCATACATACAGCCTGAGAGACGAAGTCAGCAACCGCAATTTGTATAGCATATACATATATATACATAAAAGAATGTGTCGAAAAGTTGTAAACATAAAATGAAAAGCCTTTGATTTGCTCTTTGATCATTTCTTATACATAAGCATGCATACATATTTAAGTGTATATATATACATATATATATATATATATAGATATATATGTGTATGTGAAAACCCATTGTGTATAAGTGAAGCCCGCCCAAAAAGTTTGTAAGATTCGAAATTATGTTGTTGATTCATTGTAATCCTCTCTTGCTCTCATCTTATTGCCAATTTCCTATTTATTATAAGCTATTATTTGTTTTCACATTCAAATACTCTATACAAAAACAAATGAGCATTACTTAAGAGTTACCCAACAATAAATTTTGTGTTTTTTTTTTAGCTTGAAAAATGTACTATATACTGATATGTTTATTGTTTGTATTAATTAGAGACATGTGTTAATTTTTGTATGTACTTTGAAACAAAGCAAAACCAAATAATCAAACCTTTGCTACACACACTCACACAGTTGCTGAAAGCACAAAACAAATACAGTATGTATGTATATGACATATATTATTTGCCCTTTCTCATACTATTTCTCGTACCAAAAAAAGAAAACGAAAATGTATTCAATGTCGAAAGTACAAAAGAGAGAGAACTACAAAGCAACAACAGCATTTGCCACGCCCACACACAAAATACACACACACACACACACACACACACACACACACACACATAAATAAGACATATGTGTATACCTTGTAAAACCTTTTTATACTTTTTTAAAAACAATGTAAGTCTCAGAAGACATATATATAGATATTGCAGCAGTATGTATATATAACTATTATAATTTGTGCAGCTTTGTTGTTGTTGTTGTTGAGGAATGTTTGTGAAAACAAAAAATATACAAAAAGAACAAAACCGAAATGAGAAATGAACAGATATGCCATCATTTGCTTCCAAATAATTACATTATAATTATGTTTAAAAAATAAAATGAGTTAAAAACAAAAACCAATTCCAAAAAGAAAAGAAAAAAAAACCTACTTTAAAAGTAAAATTTGATGTTTATTTTGCACACACAATGAAAAAATGACATCACATGCTTAATTGAAATCAATTGTTATAAAAAGTTTATAGACATAATAAACACTCGAAAGGTCGATAGTTGAGGAGGCAACATATCAGCTCAACATTAAACCCAATCTCTAACTGCAATGAGATTTGATTACAAAAAAGAAAATACATTAAACATACAATTTAATAACTAATAAAAACAATAGTTTAGTCATAAGGAAACAGAGCATGTCTTCTGCACTAATCTAACCAAACAGCAAAGAAAAAAAAAAAACCTATAAATCCATACAAAATGCTTGCACAAATTTCAAATCGCTTGCTTTTATTTTTGCAATAAATAAAACAAAAAATTAATGGAAAAAATTAAGTAAAAACATAGCAAAAATGTTTAAACTATCTCTGATGTAAACTGTGATAATTAAATGAAGTTGCAGGGTATTTGATAAAAAAGAAAAAAAAAATGAAAAAAAAAATACTGAATAAAATTAACACACGAAAAGCTCAACAAATTGTGAATTGTAAAACATTTTGTTGTTCACACCCACACACACACACACTAGCACTCACATACATACACAGCCCACACCGACATCATTTCTTATATGAACTACAACAAACAGCAATATGTACTGCAATAAAGTCTCTCATTGAAGAAGTCTATTATTATACGGCATACGTAAGGAATTAATGTTTAATCCGTAATGAAACCAAATTTGTAAACAATTAAATTTGCTTGTGAACCATAGACAATTGTCATTATCGTTTCGGTCTTCCCCAATAATTGTTTTTGTTCGTCGTCTACTAACCAGCAACCGAATCCTTCCCTCGTGCATATGCCTTACCCAAACAACTTCAATGACAACTTTCGTATGGAAATTGATTGGATTATACTATGATGAAGATTTGTTGTAATACCTTATATAAGTAGAGATAGATTTACTTGCATACTGTGTGTCTTTTAAATATTAAGCAAGCATATTCAACTTGGACAGCTCGATGGATTCGAAAAGCAGAGTATTTTCAATTTAAGCTGATTTACTAACAATATTGAGAATGAATAAAAACTGATCAAATGAAATGTAGACAAAGTCTTGTGCGCAGCTTTAAGCAATTTGTTAAAGTGCAAAAAACCACAGCAAATTGAGATTTAAACAATAAGTGAATGAAAATATTATAATTATATATACATATATTAAATACCAAACGTCCAATGTTTTGCATGCGACCCATGCATAAACAAAACTAACAACAATTGTGAACACTAAAGTCTTCAACAAAAAAAAAAAAAAAAAAAAAAAAAAAAAAAAAAAAAAAAACCAGTTTTGAGATCTGCTAACTAACAAACACTTATACTCGTACATATTAAAGTTATATATTAAATAAAAGGAAGAAACCAAAATGTAAGAGTGAAAAAATGAAAACAAAAACCAATTGTACTTTATAATAAACATTTTTTGTCTGTGTGTGTTCAGCAGTTCAGTATTTCAATTAAGCCAAGTTAAATCAAATCCAAAACGTACTAAAACCAAGGTTTCCCATTGAAAACCAAAACAAAATTATATAAAATAACAAAAAAGACAAAAAAAAAAAGTGAATTATTAAAAACTTAAGCGTAGCGAAATTAAAGAAAATGCTTCAAATAAAATTCTTAAACACTTCAAAGATAAAGAATAAAGAACCAGCGGGAACAACAACGATCGAGCACGAGCAACTGTAATACAACCAAAACTTCATATATATACTACTACATACATATATATACAAAGACCCTATACTAACTGCATACGTACATTTATGAAAGTAACTAATAAATGTTGTTAGCATTAACTTGAACAATTGCATAATATTAATAATAATATTGATAACATTTTGTTAAATGAAAAGGAAATCGTAGTTAACCGAACCCAAGTGTGCTTCATGTAAGAATTTGTGTTACGATTTTTACAATGCAATAAAAAATTCCAATAAATTCGCCCCACTTTAAGCTAGTATTCCTAAAGGTCTTAAGTATTTACGATCGGTGTCTAATATATATATGTGTATATGTAAACCTTATGTAACGAGTAGAGACTTTAAAGCCAACAAAAACGTATCGTCAAATATCCAAAATAGGTAAAACAAGAAAGATTAGCTAAACCTTGCATACATCTATATACATACATGCATATATATGTAATACGAATAACGGTTTAATTATACATATATAAGTGCTTCAAGTGATAAATACACCCACACATACACACAAACACACAAGGAAACATACACCTACACAGCGTATTGTCAACCTTAAGAATTTTCTGTTATAACTGAATCGAAACTACTTGAAACAAACCCCCCAAGGGACACTCTGGAATAGAAATTCCTTGAGGTAGTGCCTTAAAACTGTATAAGAACAAGAACACAATGTTTTGTTTAAACAAAAGAAGACGAGAAATGTACTAGTTCCAGTATCTTAAACAAATATATAGTTAACTCTATGCTCCGATCTATATACTACATTAATTAACACACACACACATTATATATATACATACTATATTGTATTTAATAATATACTCTTAACTTACCGTCGCATTTTCTACCATATACTACAATCTATATGTATAAATCTCGTATTTTTGACTATTTTGGAACATGTTTTGCTCAAACGACAGTTTTCTAACAGCACACATATACACAAACACACCAACAGCCACACACACACATATACACACACACATATATATATATATACATAGTTAAGTATCGATCTGCTTTGACATAGTTAAAATACATTTTGTGATTGCTTTGCTGTATGATGTCTGAACGCCCTAATGGGATATCCTGAATGTATTCATCTATATTTATGTATACAGTCACACATACGCACACACGCACATACACCAACTGTTATGTATGTGCACGTGTGTGTAGGTAGTGTGCGAGCATTATCGAATAATTAATACGATTTGTGCATTATTTCGATAGAAATACACTTTGATTACGTATTGAAATGAATAAAGCGATTAAACAATTTGATTCATTTGATTTCAATTGAGACTATGTGAAGAAGAGGAAAGAATTAATTAAAGTAGATAAGAATTAAGACTTCACATCAAAATATACCATAAAAAATTATTTATTTCGACTCTGCAAGTCTCTACGGGATTTCAAACCCAATCACAGCCAGACTCCTCTAATATAAATGCTTCCAAAGTCCTCTAAGCATATACAGCTCTATATATAGATCATACAATATATAATCGCTGCCACGCCCACACTCAGCTATGATGCGGCACGGCGCTCTCTGTCGCCGACGCAGTTGCAGTTGTTGTGGTGCTGCTTGCGGCATGTCGCGTCTCCATGTGCCGCTGCAGATCTCTGGCCCGGGCGAGCGTCTTCTGGCAGATCTGGCATTGGTAGCCCGCCTCCTGCTGGCCATCGGCTTCGCCACTGCTGCCACTCGGCTGCGTTTGTAGGTGGAGGCGCACGTGCTTGTTGAGATTGCTCGGATCGCCGAAGGGACGCAGACAGAACTTGCACTTGAGTGGCTTGAAGCCAGTGTGGGTGCGTATGTGAATCTTCAAGCCGTACTTGCGAGAGTAGACCTTGCCGCAGTAGATGCACAGATGGCCCTGCTTCGAGGCGCCCATGTTGCTGACGATTGCCTCGATCTGTGCGGCTGCGTTCATCGGATGCGGTGCACCCATCGCTGAAATGGAGGGCAGATAGGACATCGTTGCTGCCGCCGGCTGAGAGCTGTGTGGCAAGGGCAGGCCAAGCGGTTGCATGCCAGCCAGCGGACGAAAGGCGGAGAAGCGTGCGGATGTGGCTGCAGGAGGCGGTGGTGGCGAGCGATTCGGCGAGGCCGAGGATGTCGAGGAGGTGGCCGGTGTGGGTGACAGAGTTATTGTGGTTGTTGAGCTGGGTGGAGCTGGTGCCGTCGCCTTCAGTGCGTAATGCAGGCGCATCCACAGCAGATCCATAACGCTGCGGCCACAGCCCAGGGCCAGATGGATCTTCAACGGATGTGGCGTCTCGAAGGTCAAATGGCACAGATGACAGGTGTAACGATTGTTGCCTAAGGGAAAAAAGAGAAGTTGATGTGAATCCAATTAGATTTGACTATCATATGAATGAGTGAGCGTAAAATGGGACTTGGACTCCAATTGGATAAGTCAGGCATGATAAATTGGAAAAATTCAGGGTTATAGTACCACAAAATCCAATTGGAAATGTATGTACCTAATAGTATTAATTCTAATTAGACTATGTATAGAAATAATCCTTCAATGATCCTTCCCAATTTTTCTAATCTCTTACCTTGTATGTTGAGCGGTGTGAGAAAGGGTATGCCCATGAGCAACACCAGCTCCTCGCCGAACCAGGCCACAATCTCGTCCTCGCGGCCCACGTCCCGCACCAGTCGAATGCGCAGCTGTCCGGCGTGCAGCTCGAACAGCGCATTGAAGCTGTAAATGTCCTCGGAGAGTTTGATCTGTCGCAGCATCGAGGCGGTTAGCGCCAATTCGCCGTTCGCCAGACCGCAATGCACGTGGGCGTCGCTGGCAGTGGGCGTGCCCATGGAGCTGAGCAGCGCTGCAGTGGGTATGCCGCCGGAGCACGTGTCCTTGGGCGTATACTGAGCTGTATAGACACCTGGACGTAAGCTGCTCCTCGCTCTCTTGGCGGGCGCCTGCTGGTTCGAGATCGTGGGCGTGGCCACTGTCGTTGTGGTCGCCGTGGTGCTGCCGGGCAGCAGCTGCTCGATGCGAAAGATCATGCTGGCGGCGCGCTTGGAGCCCTGTCCACTTGATTCATCCAGTTCGAGGCTGTCGAGTTGAGCCGTCGTGTGCATCGCTCGCGTTCGTAAACGATTCTGTTTTCCAATTGGAAGCCGGCCGCTGCTTTTATAGCGGCGCAGCTTCCCTGCTCGCTAAATGTCCTGTGTTTGGATTTGTTACGGCTTGCAGTGTCAAAACAACTCCGGCGTCAAGTGCAAGAATTCCCAGCGCAGACATAGCTACGCACTTTGCGGCCCTCTCGCTCGCACGCACCAGCTCAGACCAGGACGCGGGCATCCCTTTGCGCCAGGTCCTGGTCCGCACGGTGGTAGCTGGCTGTGCGCGGCAAGTGCAACATCATGTACATCGGCACTAAAGCACTAAGCATCAAGCTAAGCGGCCCTGTAGCAAGTGTGCGTATTCCTTTGCCTAATCCTCTCATACCCAAAACCCGAAACCCCTCTCTGCCCAACCCCCTGGTCCTTGTCCTTTTCTCATTTCGTTTTTTTTTTTTTTGGCTTTTGGGCTGGCTGTGCCTAGGCAAATGTTTTTAATTGAAATTAAACGATCGTTTGTTGTCCTTGTTCGTCTTGTTGTTGTTGTTGTTGTTGTTGCTCTTGCTGCTGTTGTTGCTGTAATGCCACCATATACAAATCGCATTCGCTTTCGTCAATGGCATCCCCCTCGTCCTCGTCCTTGCCCGGCCCGGCCACCCTCATTGATAATGCCTTAATATATTGGTGTGTATCGTTTTACTATTTGTGGTTTAGGGTGGGTCGTGATTTTTGCCAAGCGAGCGAACTGGCGGGCCTCAAAAGGGCCCGAAGAGCTTAAGCTGACATTGAATTTTCTTTATGAAAGGCACGTCTATATTGATGAGGAATATGGATATATATATTTATGCAGCTCATAGAAAGGTTCCTAGAGACTTAATTGGGATTTTAGGAGTAAGAATAAAATACAGTTTGCCATAGATCTATTTAAATATACGTATATATATATGTATAAAACTTGTCTAGTATTGACCAAACGATTGAATATATCAATAGAGTCAGTCTCTAGTTGTTATATAATATAATATATAATCTCTTATTATTATATATCACATTGAATAATAATAGATTTGATATTGCTCGATTCATCATCGGGCCCAACTGCAGGCGCAGCAAGTCCGCTCCTGTGCCGCGTAAAATATGCTTCGACACTAATGTTTTCATCATTGGAAAGGCAACAACCCCGCCGCTAATATATACTATGAGGCGATGCGATCAACAGGACAAGGCGAAAAACATGTGTTGCCAGTCACACAGTCACAGACGCCCGGGATGGGGTTAGTAAATCTGAGGGAGGGGTTGTGGTTGCGCAGCCCTTAAGTAATGTAAAGTGTGCCAGCCAATTTGCAGGCAGAGTCAGAGCCACAGCCACAGACAGAGGCGGACACACCTGGCTCGAGCCAATTTCGAGTTGGTGTTTGCTTGTCTTAAATAAGTGGGCCAAGACCAGTTGTTGTTGCTGTTGCTATTCGTGTTCGAATTTGTGTTTATTGTACAAATTTCTCAATTTAAATTACTTGCGATAGACATAGCCCCCGGGGGCTGGGTCGTCGCCGCCGTCGTCATCGCAATCGTGACAGCCTCCGCTGGCGGCCAGCTTATCGAGTGCCTCCTGTATCTCGATGGGTATGGGCGGCGGTGTGGGCAGATGATCGCCCTGCGGCTGAAAGCCATTCTCATCGGCTATGTAGGTCAGCGAGATGCTCTCACCCTCCGGACTGCTGTAGGAGAAGGAGCCCTCGGCCACCTGCGCCTCAGCACCTTCGACGCCCGGATTCTTCAGGTAGCCCATCTCCTCGGCCTTGATGCCATTGCCCGTCTCATATTCGTACTACGAAAGCAGAGAGAAGCGAATTTCAGCAGCTTTCATTTAGTAGTTAGCCAGCTTGTCTTACCATATAGGAGCCATCGGTATTTACTTTCGATTCCAGCTTGATAATGGGTATAATTTCGCCTCCTCCGCCGCCACCGGCACCACCTCCATTGCCCCCATTCGAGGGTGGCAAATAATTCTGGTTGGGATTACTGGGCGGCGGTCCGTAGCTGTCGCGTGGTGGTGCGGGTGGTGCTGGTGGTGGCTTCTTCGGTGGAGCTCCATATGTTGGCTTCGGCGCTGGTCCAGGTGGTGGCGGTGGCGGTGGCTTTGGTGCTGCGTATGTTGGCTTCGGCGCTGGTTTTGGTGCTCCATAGCTGCTGCTCGGTGGCTTCGGCTTGGGCTTCGGTGCTGGCGGCTTGGCCGGCACATAAGTTGCTGGTGGACGCGCACTCGGATAGCCCGCCGGCTTGGCCGCTGCCACATGCAGCCCGATGAGCAGAACTAACCACAAAGTTGCTCGTTCCATTTGGCTATCGCACTTCTGATGCCCGTCGATGCCGACTGACGGCTGCTTTTATATCTATGGCCAGCACGCTTGCTTTTGACCACAACCTGTTGCACCCGGGGGTCAGGCACGTGCGTGGCCATGTGGCCAAATGTGTTGCATCGGAAAATACAAAAATTAATGCAAAGCCGAAAACTGGGCCAATGCGAATGCATTGCGCGAAGATGAAGGCAAAGATCTTGACACCAGCTATGATGAAAGGAAGACAATAATACATATATCAGTGTAATTTGTACATTATTTATTGTTCAGCTGGAATTCTGTGGCACTCGCATAGAATTTTACTGATAGATTTTTAATAATATATTTTGTTCTTGGATATAATTTTAGCTTCCATTCACTTCTCAGCTTACAGTTTTCTTTGCTTATGATCTTTTCTGATCTCCAGGACAGTCAGTGGAAATTCAGCATTCATCATTTTATCAAATGCTCTCTGCGATTCTCAAGTGTTGCCTAAGCTTTTTGCTGATCAGCAAACGTAGTTGATGAAATTGAATTTTCAGTTGCTTATCATTAATTACACTGAAATAGTTAGCAATTGAATCAAATCAAATCTAGATAAATCGACAAACTAAAAATCTTACATTTCCGCAACTAATCGCCAAAAACAACAAAACCCGCTAGGCCTCGACAGAGCAAAGCTATGAGGGGAGATGGAAACGGACGCTGTAGGATAAGGATCAGGCACGGCACAGGCAACACCTGCAGCAGCAGCAGCAGCAGCAGCAGTAGCAACCACCCCGTGTATGTTTGGCAACTACTCTAATGCACTTTGCTTGTCCCAATTGGGGGGCGGGGCGAAGGTGAAGAAGGGTGCTAAGCCCCTGGAGTTGTCGGCTTTAGTCAATCGTCTATTAACTTTTTGCCCAGGCTCAGCTCAGACCAACGACTGCAGACTGTGATGCCGCTAATATTGCCTGGACAGTGGTGGCGGTGGCGGTGGTGGTGGTGGTGTCGCTGTGGCTGTTGCTATTGCTGTATGATGGACGCTGGCTTGGCAACCCTGAACTGGATTCTGGTTCAGGTTCTGGTTCTGGTCCCGCTGCTGGCACATTGGCTCCGGCCCAGCTAATGGCAATGTTGTTGCCAGCTTGTTCTACTTGTAATGTGCTGGCGCGCAGCTGACGGCTTCCCAGGCGCTGTGGATTTTTGAACCTGTTCAGCGATTGTCAGCGTCAGCTGTTGCCCAGCTAGCAGTTGGGCAGTTGGCTAGCAACCACCGAAAACCACCGAAAACCACCAACAATCCACCAACTAACCACCACTCCAGCTAGCACCAAACGCTGCACCGGCTGCCAAAACCAACAATTGTCGGTCCATCGGAGTCATTGGCTCGACATTTCGCCACGCACCCATTGCGCATATTTCGCGCCCGCATTTGCCAAAAAGCGAAACCTCGATTCTCAACTTCATGAAATGCATTTTGACAGAGCGCAACGATCTAATTGCGATTTCTGGCGCTTCGGCCGCATCAACCACGGCGCCGATTAAGTTCTTCTGCACGCCTAAATAAACATTTTGATGCGGACCCTTTGATAAATTATTCGCAGCCCACATTGACAGCCCAAATGTGCATATCAGTATATGTATATCCGATTCGCGGGAGTTCTAGCAACTGTTGATTAGGCTACTTAAGGGTGGAGTACTCAAATCGAGTACTGGAAATATCATTTATCGTTGATTAAAATTGTGTTTTCAATGAATTTCCTATTTTAAATATTGAAATATAATTAATAAAAAATATATTATACTTTAATTTATAAATTTACAATTTATAAAAATTATTTACTCTTGTTTTATTATTTTTTTTTTAATTTTATAGGTCTTTAAAATATTATAAAAAGTATTAAAAAATGTATTCGAAATTGTTTAGAAAAAAAAATCACTACAAATTTATTGACAAATATAAACTTATTGAAAACACATAAAAAGAACCATAAATAAATGTTCTAAAAGCAGTTGTATAAAAGAACTTTGCCTAGACTCTAGAGGACAAATCAAGAACAAACTCAAATTATTTCTGCCTTAGGCAAACCAAAAGATTAAAACATAAATTAAGCACTTGTCTCGAAACAAGATTCAAATATGTGAGTTTATGTAAAATGTACATAAAAATAATTTAATTATAAATAATAAAAAAATACAACACGTATCCGCTTCAAATGCTTCAGTTAGCTTTCTTCGTGTTCTGTTATTGTTATTTCATTCTTTTTTTTTACATTTTTTCCTTCTTTTTGGGGTTTTGTCAGAGAACAAAAGTTGTGCCATAAACTATGACGCAATCGGCTTCACAAAGGCTGGCCGCTCAGATATATTTGTTTTCATTATCTTTTAGACTTATTTCGGCTGATTTGCTCATCTGAGCCACTGGTAAAAACCATTCGCAGTCGCTGGCATCAGTTAACATCCAGAAACGAAGACGATTAGACTGGAATAAGAGAATAATTAGATCGAATTCTTGAGATCATATTCATAATTAAAGACATATTAAATACATATATACATATATACATATATACAAATAGCTCAGTGCAATGAAATTTGTAAGCTGCAGATCGAATGATGCATTTGCTTTCATTATTGATATCATAATTCCCTTTTCAGGTACAGTTGAGTGTAGGTTTACTGCTGCTATCGCTGGCATGGGCGGAAGAGGCCGAAGAGCGTCAGGAGGAACTGCATTTCGGGTAGGCTGTATACAACATTGTCACATTATTGATCTATACATATTGAATGGATCTCTATAGTTTTCGGACAGAGAATGGCTATCATCGGTCAGAGGATATTACCTACAAAGTCAAAGTGAATCCGGATCAGCAGCTAACGGAACAGCCAGAGAGCGAGTCTACTCCCAAATCTGTTGAGTATCGCGGTGGCTACAGCTTTATATCGGCCGATGGCTATGAGTATCAGGTGTTATATAAAGCGAACAAAAATGGATTTCAGCCCTACGTAACAGCGCACAAGGTGAAATCGGGGAAGGATAAAGCCTAGAGATCTAATATGTGCATATACAAATGTGTGATCTACAATATTAAAACTAAATAAAAATCAGAGAAAGTGATTGACTAGTAGATATCCATTATCGTACTATAACTAAAGCGGAGGGAATTTTAGTGATAGGACATAGCTCATTCCATAGGTTGTACAATAAATAAATGAAATATGAGTGTTTTGCTTTTGAGTATATAACTCAAATATAATGAGCAGATATATGAATATTCGCACATAGTAAATATCGAAACTTTCGATACTACCGATAAATATCTTAATAATCGTTTATAAAGACTGTCTGCTAACGCTCCATTTTCTAGGGTATTAAAAAGCCATCAAAACTATACAGCTTTCTTTAGATCAATGATTTGAAAGCTCTCGAATGGCTGCTGTAGTATTATGATGATCAAAGCTTTAAGCTCCGCTTGACAGAGCGCTTGATTAATGCGCGCTGTATGCGTAGAGAATATACATACATATATCACTGGCCATAGGCCTGTGAGCATCTTGATATCAGATCTAGCATCATTAAGAATTTGTATAAAATTCAAGTTTATAGCGATCAAGGCGTTGCGTGGGCCAATGCGCTAATACATGCCACATCAACTTTATTACTAAGTAAATTCCCTCTTCATACTATATGTTAGGGCATCTGAACTTTTCATTGAAGTCTCTTCGGTTTTTTATTTTTTTAATGATTTCGAATCAATTTTGTTGTCGGCTCATCATGCTGCGTGTTGTTGGTCTTTTCTGTTATGTTCGACTGCAAAGTGAAAGGGTATATTAGTTTTATGCAATGTCCGGGGTTCGGCTAGTCATCTACCCGATCGTTATTCCTTCCGGCTGCGCGTCTATCGCTAGAGCAACTTTGAGCATTTATTCAGAGATTTAAGATTTTATAATCAAGTTGGCGCAGACTCTCTCTTGAGATTTACCAAGCACTGATGCAACTGATTTTCAATCGTGAGCGAGTGTTTTGTAGTCGGTACCGCCCGACGGTAATATTCTTTCTTGTTTTTACCTTTAGCTGCTTTCCTTATGCATATTTATGTGAAGCAATCGTGTGATGGCAGCAGCTCGGGCCTTACTCAGCGCTTTGTTGAGCATACGATTTGAAACGTTGGCATCGTGGCCACAATATGCGCCCCTTCCACGGGCTCTGCAATCAATTCACAGCTAGCTGTGACAGAGTACGGTTGCAGCTATCGAACACTATGGGCGCTCAACGAAAGACTGTTGGCAGCTGTCTGCTCTTACTCCTCATAGCCAACATCTTATGGAGCACAGAGAGTGGAGTTGGTGCTTCTTATTCGCCTAACAGTGTGCTGGAGATACAATTGGGCGACCTATTGATCGAACAATTCAAATACATACCCACCCTAGGGGGCTACGAGTATGGGTGAGTCTAACTGCAATATAGCTAAATTATAGATAGATCGAAGGAGAGAGAGAGAGTTGTTTACATTATATTCCCTTTCAGCTACACTTTGCCCAATGGCACGCATCGCGATGAGCTGGGCGAGCTGCTCAACGCTAACTCCACACCTGAGGAAATAAGGAATGCCAACAATTATGCTCGTAACGCTAGGCCATCACGGCGTCCGGGTGTTAAGAATCGCAAACTCTCGCCCAAATCTCTCTCATCGCTAGCTGGTTAAGTGACAGAAACAGAAGAAGAGAGAGAGAGAGAGAGTGAAAAAGAGCGAGAGAGAAAGAAAGAGTGAGTGAGAGTGAGAGAGAGAGATAGAGAGAGGAAGACGTGAGGCTTCTCCCATTATTGTTTGTGAAATTTTAAGCGCGGTTTTGGTAAAACTTTTAATAGCCAATATTTGTTATGTTTAAAGCTTTTTAGCTACAAATGTTTTTAGTGCCTAAACACAACAAAAAGCAATTCAATAAAGTATTGATTAAAAATAATAAAATAAAATAATGTTTGTCTAGCTTTAGGCTCAATCCATAAGCTATAGCCCACTCACTTTATAGCTTGGAGTGTATCAAAACTCTTTGCGGACGTTGGTTTATATGGGTATTTATACTTAGAAGCTAAGCTTAAAATTAACAGCTTTAATGGGCCACGATTTCTTTGTTGAATGTCATAACTCTTGTTAAAATTTTTCATAAATGACAACTAAAATTAATCTAGTCTGTTATTATAATTTAGTATATTGTGAACTAATTGAAAATAACGATTTGTGAGTGTAAGTATGTAGAATGGTTTCTAGAGTGCGGGTCAGGGTATCTCATAGTCGTTCATTGTCGACAAGACCTCTCTTTTTATTGTCTTTGTATTGTTTTCTTATTTTATTTATATTTATATTTTTTTTTTTTTCTTGTTTAAAAGTAACGTATACTTCCTCGCGGAGCAACATATTCAAAGTTTTTAATTTTTGCCACATACTTTTGTGCGGGGAAAAATGCGATACCTTAGGATGAATAAAGTTTGGCAAAGAAATATAGATACTTGCTTGATTTCCAAACTAAGGACATGCGCCATCGAACGTTATTGAAATGGTAGATAATGATGAAAGAAATTAAAGAAATGTTCTGGGAATAAACTTGGATAGGGCTATATATAAATATACAGACTCAACAATACTCTTAGGCTAAGGATTATGTATACATAGGAATATACATATATAGTCCTAGATTGGAAATGCAGAAAAATTTAAATATAGAATTCATAATTAGCCAATTTGTTCGCTCCTGCAACAGTTGCTTTATAGCCAGGGTCTACGACAAATTGAATACGCAATGTAATTAACAAATAAAATTTCAAAATTTAAAAAAAAAATTAAAAAAAAAAAAAATAACGAACTCATAAAACGTCTCGACGCAAGAGCGTGACATTTACATATTGAAATTGCAATACGCATACAAAACTATTCGGATGGTCTAGTGCGAAGCGGAAGGTGGAAGGCGGGGCGAGGGATGAGAACGGGGCAAATTAAACAAAACTTGGCTTTAAGACATTGCCATTAACGCTAAAGTGCTAATTTAGCTAGCGTCTACGAGACGATGTAGCCAAAGCTATACCAAACTAAGAAGTAAAGTCGAAATAAATAAAAGATGAACAAGAAGAAGATGATGATGATGAAGAAGAAGAAGCAGATGTCGTCGAAAATTTGAAGAACCGGTAACCGAAACACAATCCGTCCATCTGTCCGTCTGTGTTTCTCATATCTAAAGTCTGGCCAAGATCTGGCTGGTCAGATGACCTTGAAGATGCGAGCAACCTGATCTGAGCACATTTTAGCAGCTGTATATGTATTTGCTGCTACATATATATGTATTTTTGTACATACATATATACACCTGAAAAGGGACAGTGATATTAAAAACAGCAAGAGAAATCGAGAATATATACCGATAGAAACTATTTGCGTAGAACCCGTAGATACGCGAATTTTACTATACAACAGCAAAGATAAAAATGGCCTTTTGCTAAGGCGCGATCAGTAACGCCTTCGATTTACATAAGCATAAAAAAGTTTTTGAATACCAATTATATATATCTTATATATGTGCATTTTAATTTATAAAGTTTTTTCAGCTTTTGGCATTAAACTAGTTTTTCGCCTTTGTTGTCCACATCGGCTTACTTACTATAAATACTCCACTGTCTCGCCCTATAACTCACGGTTACCTTTGAAGTCTCAAACGCGCAACACATCTACTTAAACATGAAGTT